TATTATCACATTATGTTATAGAGTCTCCACACCATATCTCTATCTTTGGTGTCGATGAAATGGAATATCAACAGAATCCTCTGTATACTAAGAAAGAACATGTATTTCGTGAAATAATTATTTCTGTCGCCTTTTACACTTTTCAATAGTACATTAGATCATAACAACTACGAGTAAAGGTCAACAGAAAAACCAAACATTAGACTCATAGACTGAAATTGCTTGAAATAGAAATTCTTTTTATGAAATACGGAATGTAATTATGTTGAAGACATCAATTTGAAGAAATCGTTTTATGGAAGTAATCAATCATGCATAACTGTTAGAATAGTCATACATGTTCAGCGTAAGATTATCAAAAGTTTTACCATTCCTCTGACATACAGTGACTGAGTCGTTTGAGATTGAATCACTATACGCACCTGAAGTTGAACACTCCTCTCCTTCAGCCGAAATCATAGGCACGATAAAATGACAATACGAGCTACCAGTGTTGTCCAAATCCTTCTTCAAGTTGTCCTTTCCAACAACACCAGACTCGGACTTTTATCAGTGTAGTTATGTTATCACGTGACTTTACATGAAATCAGTAATAACAGGCAAGTTTAAAGGCCGCCTTTCTTATATTGTTTCCCCGTTTGTGTATAAAATTGTAATATAGTCACCAAGAGATACATGAACGAGCACTAAAATTTGACAGGTTTATTTTATAGATAATTTAAATTCGATTGTAAATAAGTTAAATTTAATGTTTTAAACTGAGTGGTATGTAAAACATGATATTTAAGACAAAGGCAAGACAAAGAAATAAGCATTGTTTTAAAGAGGGCTTTCTTAAGTACGATATTGATATATCATAACGCTTTATGCTTTGATCCAAATCCTCTTACTCTTCTGAACCACGTGTTTGTCGCAAATGTTTGCTTGTGTTCAGCCACACATTTATTGTTGTTTTATCTGTAATCCATCTGTAATTGTATTTAATTAATATTTCTGTCTGCGCTGTGCTGTCTTAAATGTCTTGTTAAGATGCCAAGTCGAAAAGAGTATTGGCTCGGGTTATCGTGAAATAGCTATAACCGGGCAAATATTGCATTAACGACAACTTTCGATTTTGTATCAGCAAAGTCTACTTTCAGTAAGGTAAACAGGTTTTCATATTAAACTTAACTTGTAAATGTTATCAATCAATGTTTTCAATGAAGCATGTTTATTTCAGCCATTGAATTAGAATTCGAATCAATTACGTTTAATTTCGGTACTAATATCATACACATTTTACAGGATGTCTGTGAAACAGTACAGCTTCACCTTCAACTGCACCTTCAAATACTTAGTAACTGGTTCACAATTAACGTTATTAATGTTGACTTTTGTTAACTCAGCCGTTGTACACGTGAAAAAAAGACAACAATGCAGAACAGAGTTAAACATTATGCTAATCAATGAGTCTATATACTATATTGACTGCAATGTAGTATCCTTTGGCTTGTGTTTAACAACTATTCAAGTATTTTGTCTACAGAACTATAAGTAAGAACGATCGTAAGGCTGACTCAATTTTTGTATTTTACGCTACTAAAACACATTTTATAATTTAACCGTGACTGTTTTACCTCAAATTTGTCGCCCTCTGACACCAACGTTAAGAGCGCCCATTAACAAATACGACGACGTTTCTGATACTTAAAGGTTACTGGAAATGTGTTGTCACTATTGTGATACACAAGTGATTGACGACGTATTTTACAAAGTTTAGTATCAGGATTGCATATGATATTTTGGTATAATGATGTATTTTAGACAGTTTAGTATCAGGATTGTATATGATATTTTGGTATAATGATGTATTTTAGACAGTTTGGTATCAGGATTGTATATGATATTTTGGTATAATGATGTATTTTAGACAGTTTGGTATCAGGATTGTATATGATATTTTGGTATAATCATGTATTTTAGACAGTTTGGTATCAGGATTGTATATGATATTTTGGTATAATCATGTATTTTAGACAGTTTGGTATCAGGATTGTATGATATTTTGGTATAATGATGTATTTTAGACAGTTTGGTATCAGGATTGTATGATATTTTGGTATAATGATGTATTTTAGACAGTTTGGTATCAGGATTGTATGATATTTTGGTATAATGATGTATTTTAGACAGTTTAGTATCAGGATTGTATATGATATTTTGGTATAATGATGTATTTTAGACAGTTTGGTATCAGGATTGTATATGATATTTTGGTATAATGATGTATTTTAGACAGTTTGGTATCAGGATTGTATATGATATTTTGGTATAATCATGTATTTTAGACAGTTTGGTATCAGGATTGTATATGATATTTTGGTATAATCATGTATTTTAGACAGTTAAGTATCGGAATTGTATATGAGAACATAGTTGTCAGCATCATTATTGATACAGATAGGTTTTTATAAGGCGTCACGAGGAACATACAGATATAGATTTTCAAGAATGTCCATCATCGGCAAAAAACAATGTTACACAGGGAGATGTTAGTATTATTAAATTCTTCTGAAGTGAAGGATATTATACCTTCATACAAAGGATAGAGGTATTTCTATTGTAGGAATGTTCTTAGTGACATGAACTCTAAAGAATAGCAGCTCTTGTGACAATACATAATGTCTATTAAATAATCTTATCAATAAACAGTTCAGCCTTCTGGAAAATACATATCAAACACATATTAACAAAATGTATAGAGGCGACTGTTTACTGCTTAAAAATAATAAATAACGCATGCAAATAAGTTGTTTGCGTATCTAGAAACAATGGAATTTGACACTGGTACATGGGAAGGAAGATGTGAAATCAAAGAAATACCGACATGTTAACATATAATTTTGATTTACGACGACGTCCGTCACATAAACCATAGCCAATCAAAGTACGTAATACCAAGTCACGAAACTACGTTGTATACTGTAATGTTGATTTCTGACCTTGCACTTTGGGGCAAAGTAAAACAACCAACCTAAATATAGAAATTTCTAACCTAGTTATTTATAGATCGTGTGTAATCCTGATTACGGATGGCTGATTGCGGTAGTGGAGTATATGTATATGTATTACATGCGGTCTTTGTATGTGACTGAAAATCTCCCGTGATTTGATTTATAGTTTTGTGACACGTTACTGGATCGATGTCAGTCAATGGGGAAACCTGTCTAAACTTTATATTTTCTGCTTTGTTTCCCATGCGAGAAGTTGAACATACACAAAACATGCATATGGCATATAATGCTGTAAATATTTGAGCTATGATTATATTATTACAGTTTGTCGGGTGGTGTCGTGGATATTGACTTAAGACTGATTTGATTTGATTCCATTGTTAGATTTAATAAGAGTAGAGTAATTTGCCCAAACACTTTTTCATGATCGTCTGGTGTCATTTCACGATGAGGCTTGCTTCACAGGAATATTTCTTAAATATATATATGTATTTAATCAGTTCACCTCCATTGTCACTGCTATGTGCAAGCAGTAGTTCATATCTCGTTAGTACTTTTGCCTTTGGTCAAACTTTCTAGAAATTGTGATTTATTGATGAAGAGCGGAGAGTGTTATTCATAGTCTTTGAAAAAAATTTACATAATAAAATGTTAAAATATTGGAATTAATATTATCACAAAATTATACACATATTACGATGCATTGAAAAGTAAATGATTGTAAAAGTCATGAAGTCAGACAAACATGTTCCTCTGTCTTCCACGTGCTATTTTATTTGTATTTGGGGAATAGTAACTACATTAGTTACATGAACAAATACTCAACACATACTTACCGAATGTGAGGTGGTACCAAGATATTAGAAAAACAAAGCAGTTTAGAAGAAGAGAAAATATCATATCCCGAATTTAGTCCTCTCTTGTGTTTATGCATTGTGGGGAACAGATACAGTTCTTACACCTAACTACAGAACATGTGAGCGATACAAGCACAATGGACTTCTTCTTTGTGGAAATTTCTGTTTGTTGGTTGATAAACGTTGAGTTGATATACACATACCCGTGTATATACGTGAAGCTTGCTGTCAAATACTATCCAGGTTAAGATGAAAGACATTTACAAAGACCTTTACTGCATAAGGAAAACAGGGACACACTAAATCAGATATCACATTCCAGGAATAAGGAGAGAAAATTGGTATATACTCATATTTATTCTATAACATTATACAAAATACAAGGCCTTGCTAGGAGCATTCTTTTATTGATAAGTTAACGATAATGGATGTAAATAGTGTAATGTGCTACAGAAATACCAACAACATGACTCATATATATAACACACTAACGATAAACTTATTCCTACCGTTGTTTTCTGGTACAGTGGGTGAAAACACAACATTTCGTACATTTTCACTTGTCAGAGTACAGTGCAAAGATCCCAAGGTATCATTTAGATATTATTAATGTGAAATTGTGTGTCTTAAGTTTTATGTAACAGTGTTAACATTGATCTATAAAACATTTAAAACCACACAGTTCACCAACAAGACTTAACTTAAAATGTTCTCCTATGCAATGGTATAATTACATAGCATACGCACATTACAGGAAATCGGAAAGAAAACATGGTTGTACGATATTATACAAATTGATCGCAAACAGTATATCTCACGAATATAGACCACAAGTTCTCTAACACTTACTATACAGTTTTGAAAACAAATTGCCATTTTCAAAATATTAATCACAGGATTTCAAATATATATCACATTTTTTTTTGTAAAGGAATGAATATATATCACAAGCTTCTGGATCAAATCACAAGATTTTGAGATCACTATTTCATGCTCTTAAATATGAATAAGGAATTTTGGAAAATATATATGTATATCACGATCTTTGATTTGTATTGAATAAATACTTTCAACCGAAACCACATTACACAAGTGACGCTAAGATAATGTTTAACATACCATACATAACTGATGCTTACATTTTCCCAACTCATGTGAGTTTTCTCGATAAAGCGTAGATACTAGCAGGATAAGTCAATACCAAAGATACAACGTTGTCATAGAACAGAAAGTTATAAAGAAACCACGGTAGAACTGCTGACAGTAGCAACACGATGACCACATTGCGGTAAAGGCAAACATGGTCCTCAATATCCCTGGGAACGAAATGAAACACAAGTTGTCTTACTCACAAGTGATTTTTTTTCAATAACGTAAATAAAATATGATATAATCACGAAGTATTATGTCAAAGGGAACATTTTCTTCAGACATATATTAAAGTATCAATATTGAGTTGCTTACATTAAGATAATATTTCATGGTATAAAAAACACATATGCTTGTAGAAAAGTGTTTAAATTACCGCGTACCTATGCATCAAACTGTTATATAATACACTTACTTTCTGATCCACTTTTTCATGGCAATTGACAAGAACCACATGACATCATGTATGGTTGCAAGGACACAGACTAGAATTACATATCTGCTGATGTAGTAGTGCTCAGACGACCAAGCGTATACATATCTTCCAACACCCCAATACGGCAGAAACAATGTGTAGAACACTCTCCAAAACTAACAAGAAATATAATTTATTTTAGCATCACTTCTAAAATGGATTGTTAACCAACGGTACGGGCTGTTTACATGACACGGCAAAAAAAATAAACCACAAAGTTTGGCTTTATCCCTCGCCCGACTTTTGGTAAGCAAGTAAATGTAAACAAACATCAATATCAAATTGACAGTAAATGTTAATATTTTACTGTTGATTTTTTAGTACAATTTGGAATTGTCCTTTACAAGTTTATTCGACTATCAATAAATGTTTGTATTGCAGTAATTTGTGGAATTCTAAATTAGTTGAAACATTTTCGAGTTGTCTCTGGTTACTGGTTTCCATGGTGATCGAAAAATAATCAAAACTACGAATTATTATACTCACGCCTGTTGCTTCATTCATTCCAGTTTCAGATAATTCAGGACAGGCATACTTCATGAAAGGGCTGTAAACTGTCTGGTATTGAAAAAGGTAGGTGCAACCTATGGTTATCCGAGGGAAAAGTTTGAATCCAAACAGCAAGAAGAAGGTAAAGACTGGGTATTTTGACTGAAACATTCAAGGCAAACACCGTTTGATATTAGTGGTTCCCATCGGACGTCTTATTAGTTTACCTAACATGAAAAAATACAGACTTTTTTGCCTATTCATTTCAACGTGTTGCACATTTGTGTCTTCACTACCGACCTTGTACTCCCAGAAATTCCCTGTCGGTTTTGTTCCAGTGGTTCTCAGTTCGTCTATTTCACGAAGAAACACTCTTCTATGCAGCTCATTGGTCATGTGAAGTGTATTGATAACATCATTTTCTTGCATCACTAACAAAAATTTGCCATCTGTGTGAAAATAATATCAAATTTGAAATACAGAATGTAATGCTTCCATAGTAAATTTCCAATCATCTTATTTTTTCGGTGATCTCAATGAAGAATATTCTATTTTTTGTGTGACATGAAGCTGAACGTATTTGGTGCATGTTAGTTTATCTGTAGGTAACGTTGTTGTATACCTTGTTCTCATTTGAAAACGTGGCATTACTAACTTGGACTGACTTAGGTTTACATGGCGGATGTCGTCAATGAAGCAGAAGACACTTACTCTTCCGGAACACCTTATCTCTATGTTATCTTTCAGTAGTCTCTGTGTATATCTTTCTTTTTTTCATTCTTTACCCTGGTTTCATGAAATTTCAGCTAGATATATAAATATGTTGCTGGTTGGTATTTTCTTGATGTTTTTCATACTCACTGCAAATTTTCAGTGGCTTATATCGTCTATACCTTGGTTTAACTAGGCCGATGTTCAGCTTATTCAATTCAAGGCCGGCAACCCCTTATTTAAAGAATTATTGCTCTCTGTTAAAAATTCGTGTCCGAAGCATAACTGGGATAATGATATATCGTGTAGAATTTGGCTATACTAAATTAATGTGCAGTGCAACAAATTCAGGACTCGCAACTCTTAAATTAGCGAAACATTTCAATTTGTTAAACATTTGTTTTCATGGAGCAATTATCAATATCACTGATGTTCTTGTTTCTTTGAAATTTCCTCCAACAAAATACAATCAGTTAACGTATGTACATAATGTTCAGAAATGCATTACAACTGTGAATTGTTTAAATATGATTCAACACCAGTTCAAACGAAATAAGTGATGTAAACAATTACAATCACATCGTAAACATGTGACAACAATTCACGTTCTATATATAATGGAACATCACTCTTTATGGGATATATGTCAAATGCAGAAAGACAATTGTCTTTTTAGAGAAATATTTGTACTTAATAGCCTTATGTTGACTGTGTTGAGAACGCATCTATTCAAATAAGTTTTTCTGTCATAATGTTGCAGCAAATTTCACCTTTTCCCGTAATCTAGACAGTAAATTCAAATTAAGTATATACTACAAATCATCCATTGTTGAGATTTTGAGGTTTTGACACCATCCCATTCAGATTTTGACCACTTTTGACCGATTTCCTCAGTCGTGTCTAACATTGTTTTGACAACGACTGTCACATTTTTGTAATTTCTGCGATATATAGCCGAAACCTTTATCTATTTTTAGTGGAAGTCTTGCTTTCTTACAACTTAAATATCTATTTCCGTTTTTCACATTAATGAGTGAAGTGTCAACATAATCAACTGAATACCCGTTTTTTTTTATTGCGGATTTTACCTATGTCGTTGTTTTTTATATCGTCTGTGTAGAGACCAGCCCATGGACCAAGCTGATCCATCCATTTAACTGTATCATCAGTGTTCCATTGGTTTACCGGCGTGCTAATCAGATCCCTCTTGCCGAGATTCCAAATAAAGGACGAAGTGCAGAAAACCTAGAAGCAGATTTTCGTATGAAATCGGTGATACCATTGCTACACGTATAATTAAAGTATTTCGTCTTCATGGAAAGCTACTCTAACGAATTTATTAAATGAACATATGTAGAAACTTGTTAGATGTTTTGAGATAAATATAACGTATGACATAATAAGATTAATAGTCTAGTTCATTTGCTTATCATAACAGATTGAAAAGCCATGACATTTTTGTACGCACCAGAACTGTTAAGGCGATGCCAGAGGAAAAGTACTTGCATCTTGTTTGATTGCTCTGAGTTGTATCAGCTCTGCCAGCTTGGACACTATTATGTAAGGTTCGAAACATCTCCTGGGTTGTCGCAAAAGTATTGATATTGTCAAACTTTGATACGACATTGCGATTCTCCTCGGTGTTGACTTCTTGCATTCGCTCTGCTAGTTTTTGAGACCATGTATTCTCCAACAAATTTCTGTAAAGAGAAAAAGTTTGAAACTTTATCACAAAACCATTAAATGTGTTTATAGGAATACAAGTATATAAGGATTTCGAGATATTTGATTATATCAATAAGATACGGATTAACTTTCCAGTTTTAAGGCAAACCAAATATCAACCTACAAAATGTATGTAGGACAAACTGGAAATCAACTGACGGCAGTGTTTGCACGATACATATGAATTTAATATATCTTAGCGTCTACTGAATTATGAATTTGATGTCAAGATCAGAGGATATCAATCGGGAAATCTTGTTTTTAAACATCCGTTTTAATATGGACAAATTAGATATTAGTATATCACTATGCCAACCGAATTGAAGTTAAAAACTTGTAGGCTTTTGTAAAGAATTCCCGGTAATGTGGTCATACCTGAGCAAAACGTTAACTTTTGGTGACCCTCTCCATTGCACTCTACAGGTTGGACACTGACGTTTTCCGCTAGTGACTGTCCATCTAGCCAGACAGTGTTTACAAAACGTGTGACCACAGACTAATGTTGTCGGTTCCACTAACAATTCGAAACAACATCCGCATTCCGCATCTCCGTGTTCCTCCACTAGCATGGTTCACTTTATAACGAAATAACGAGACGAGAGTATAAAATGATATTAATAAAAAATATTTAGCAATTGCAATATGTTGTTTTAATCATTGTTTGACTACAATGTATCAGATTATTAACTAATTATAAAGGTTCTATTTATTTTCTTTTACACAACCCCAGTGATACCTGACATGTAATTATGATGCATGCGTATTAGAGATTGTACAAAGACACACAAGTCAATAACTTCTTTCAATACTTCAGAATCAGTTACAGTAGAGCCAGATAATTAAACTACATTATACATCTGTTGCGTCCTTGAAGAACCTGGCATAGATTATAAGGGTCCAAAATTGCTCCAACGCCAAAGACAAGCTGGGAATGTGCACTAAAATTTAAATTTAAATAAAGATTGATAATCAACATATGAATACAAGGATAGAAATGATTATAAGCAGGGATAGCTAAAATATAGATTTGAAAAAAATGCATTTAGTGTAACAGTGAATTACTAATGAGTTAAGTTGTCTACTTTGATTCTTTAGGAAACAAGTTAAATATCTCCTATTTCATACAAACGATGAAAGCCTATCTGAAGTGTACCTTATTTTAGAAAATTTCATTAATTTTTCATGTTGTATATGACCTAACACGACTTATCACAATGAAAACCTAGTTACTTTACCATTTTAATCATCATTTGTTGTGGTGTTAAAGAGATTCACTACTTATTGATATCATGAGACTAAAAATAGACTGTTGATGTCATGAACTCGGTAGTCACTGAGGTGTGACTTAGGTCCTTCGTATCACTGACGGATCTTAGAACAACAAAACTGCTTTATAATGCAGTTTAATTCGACGTTTGGCTCAATAAAACTAGAAAAAATAGCAACTTGTCAACATAATAATCATCCAAACTCAAGTTCAAGAAAACTAAGTCAAAATGTGAACAAAAAAGAAATATTTACAGGGAGACTCCTGAAAAGCACAAAGAAAATCAGACGAGAGAAGTAGGCGTCAACCACAAGGAAATTTTAAACAGATAACTCGCAGTGGGGACATTCAAGTACGTGCATGAACCTGTCGGGTTTTTTATATAAAATATTTCAGAAAATCAATTATTATTTTCAGGTAAAAGAAAGATGAACAAAATGAAAGTAGGCCTTCCTGAATATGTATGTATTTAAGCACTGTGTGTAATTATCTGGGCTCTAAATTAGCATGCGCTGAAAGTCCTTTACAAAACAAAATCTGTATAATATATAGTATACAAATTGATACTCACAAATGTATATAATTGACCGGGGTGCGAACCAGATGATACTCCGCTGTCGGTGTATACTTGTTACCTTGTCAGTCAAACAGAAAATCTGTGTGTATGTGAAATAACCTCCGTCAAACCGAAACAAGGAAATTCCAGTGACCTGAATGACGTCAAGATTATATTTAGAAATGTCACGCAGCGTTAACCCTAGGCATGAATATTTACGTTTGTATAAGTAATTTTTCCTGCATTTTATATTGTTAAAAAGATAACAGTCAGATTCCCCTTATCTTAATCTTTGTATATTGATATTAACAGTTTGTTAAATACCGCATCTTCCATAGGCATTAATGCAGTCACTACATGCGCAGATAGTTATGCAATTTGGATGATATACCGTTTTTTTTTTCAATAACTTTCTTTGCCATTGTAGATTTGTCGTTTTATCAAGAGTGTTTGCGGTCATGGTATCTTTTTCTATCAAGGATTGACTGAAAATCTTAATTGGTGAAAATGAACATGTAGGCCTATAGCAGTGAAAATGTGTAAAGGGAGGCAACTCTTGCTCAATGTTTCAATTTCAAATGGACAGAGACCACAATTGATTTTACTATATATTTCATTGTAATATCAAAATGCATAATTGAGTCCCAAAGTTTACTCTGCAATTTTTTTTTCTCAGCTGGCGAAGATCAGCATCTGACCTGTGCAATGTAAATGTTTCAATGTATTATGTTCGGAATTTTCTGGAGATAAACCTCCGTAGGCGTCACCATTGTCAGTTATATACATCCGGGTCTGTAATAAAAACAGGACTTTTCAATCTGGATCCTGCAGCACAAAATACATGTTCGATATGAACTTTTTACACATTGATATTGAGATTATCAACTATAACAGATCTACATCAAATTCATAGGCAAATATCCTATTTAAAGAGTCATATATTTTTCGTAATATACATATATTTTTAGGGATTTCATTCGTGGGGCATGACCCGGAAGTATTTAATTGTGGTCTCAGTCCATATGAATGAAGTTCCCGTTGGCTTTCTAACATTAAGTCACTTGGTGATGACATAGAACGCAACCGAAACAAGCGTTAACACGATGTAATATACAACAGTCCCAGTCAGCCCAGGTCTTGCTCAGCGCCTCCTTAACTTATATACACATCAGTGCATACGAGTTTGTTTATATATACATCAGAAGTTATACGGCATATTGACTTTGTTGTATGTTGTATTTCTGGTTTAAGGGTACATGTCCTGTTTCATGAGAAACATTACCATTGTACTATGACATTTATAATGCTGACACTAGCACGACTTAACATCATGACGTTATCATTTTGCATGCCATTTTAAGATTTTTCGTGTGCATAACATAGTGTGTACTTCCACATTAGCTTGCTAAAGTAAATGAGGCCAACGTGTTAAAGAATGAAAATATTGCTTAAAGAGCGTTGTATTATTCTACAAGTACATATATAAGGTATGAAACTGGTATTCTAAGTACCGGAAGTATTTATTATTGAACAATACACCAAATAATAAAACGTCGTCTTGCTCTCTCATCTTTCTATTTATAGTACACACTACTTCTACTACTAATCGAGTGTAAACTGGTTTGATGAAACCTCGTGTAAAATGCATGTCGCATGTTGAGTCAATCTGAATTTTAAAAAAAGTTCAACAAGGCTTCAACATTACGTTTGAAGCTTGGCGGTACATTGAATTTTGAAATAATTTCTATGGCTAAATGTCTTGAAGAATTTCTCTGCAGATTGCATTTGAATTATTGATTTTTACCAAATGAGGGAATATCAAACCAGATTCTAAGTTGTTCTTGCTGAAAATTCGCTAGTCATCCAATGCTTATGAAACTTTCAAGACACGTCGTTACGTTGTATTTTATTTTTTCTCTATAATATTTAATTTCATGTCGATATTACATGTACCTGTACATCACACATAAGGATCTTTCCATCTCATACTCTGATGGTCATCAGTGTCCAGTTGCATGACGTCGAATCACATTATCTAAAGCATGACATTTCCGAACAATTAACAACAAAGTGCAAACCAGTCGTTACACAACCGAATGTCCCAGGCTTTCCTTATTTGGGCGAACGCTCAATTAAAGGCTAAAAATGAGGTAGCAGCAAGAAATAACAACAGATAGTAAAGTTGAAGGACGAAGTCATTACAAAATCATCGAGTTTCTGGTTGAAACTTTCGTCGAGTTTGATGGTAAAATCTTCCTAAAGAATATTGACATACATATGGACTACCTGTGCCACTCTATCGACTGACTTATTTTGTTTTCATTTGAGTCTTAAGTTATCGAAGATAAGTATACCTTGCAAAGTCGATTACTTTCACTTTTAGATATATTGACGATGTCTTGTGTTTAAATAACAAGGTTTTTTCCACGCGCATCGTATATACCCACCTGAATTGGAAATCAAGGACACTTCAAACTCTTCAAAATCTGCAGCTTATCTCGATCTTTTTCCTCGACGGAACCAAACTGAACAGCTTTCCTCCAAATTGTATGATATAAAGATTATTTCAATTTCTGAATTGTAAACTTTCCATTTCTTAAAAGCAACATATATACATCCTCAACCAATGGTGTTTACTTGCTATTCAAGGACATGTTTAAAATATCACGATTTTTGTGCGAGAAGTCGGACAAACTCGCAACTCAAGGTTTCATAAGATGAAGGTTGATGGAAATTATGGGGAAGTTTTACGGTCGTCATAGTGACCTCATTGGGGAAGTGTTTGACGCTCGTTAGTTTCCCTGTTGGTTTCGTTGTCGTATAAACTGTCCCCATTTGAGGACATGACATTACTTAATTGGTGTTGTCGAAAAAGCAGAAGAAACTTGCTCTTCCGGAATACCTGGTCTTATTCTCCATATACGTTTCAGCAGCCTTCGTGTAAATCTTTCTTTTGTTCATATTTTTGCCCTAGTTTTATTGAAATTTGAGTTTTGATGATCATGATGTTGTTTTTCGTACACCTTCCATGTAAGGCAGAGACAACGATGCCACTGACGGAAACTTTTTATTGAGCTATTGCAGTCAAATATTGTTAAGATTGTATAAAAGCCTCACAAGCGAATAACGCCTTTCGATACAAATTTATAATCAGAGACAATTGAGTAGCATGTCATGGTATTCTAAGAGAACTTCTGAACTACTCCTGTCCTGATGTCTCTGCTTGACGCTGCCTCACCTTTATTTGACCGTTTACTCCTGTGACGAATGTTTTAGCTTCGATTTCCTAGACGCTACCACAAAAAAATCCCAATTTAACTTTCAGCATTATTTCAGCTATTGGTTTGCCTCTAATAAGGTTTCCTGTCCTCCTGAATGTTTTTACTTCAGTGTAATAGCATATAGGTTCGGCATTGATTCTGCACTATTACAAGGAGGCTTATACCAACATATTTCAGCTTAATGGAAACAAAAATACTCATACACGATGAGACCGTCCTTGAATCACTGTACAGGGCAATATTACGTTCAGCAACATAAACTTAACAAACTACGAATCACAAACAGGGATAATGAAGTACCATTTCAATGATAAGGGACAGGAACGTTCAGTACTCAGACAAAAAGTGATGTAAGGTCAAGAGTGGGAAAAGTGTAAACAAAAGGGAAAAATTCCGTGTTTATTTAGGTCTTTTGATTACGACAGAGACCCGGGGATTATTACGACAGAAATCCAGGGATTATCA